GGTAAATAATCACTGATTTATTGATTTATATATCAATTGACGTATCTGCTGAGTTATATATTTTTAATTGATTTTAACTACTCTAGTAGCATTATGATACCATACTCGTATACGGTGATAACGGGATAGCCTGCAATGTACAGTATGATAGTAGCGTATATTGATTCGTACAAAAAGAAGTTATGAAATGTTCAGTACTCAATCAAACGCTATAACAAGATGCGAGGATCGTATTCTGCATAAAAAACCTTTCAGTAACGATACCAGTATTCTTAACCATTGTAACTACTCTACGTTACTGTGTGATCCATATGTTGCTAATCTTAAATGAGTATGACGTTTAGGCAACATACGTAACAATAGTAACATTTACATGCCCAAATTTTTTATCATAATGAGATATATATTTTTTTCAAGTTGTGCATGTCACCTCTACACTGGGCAGTACAAAGTCAACACGCTGATATTGTGAAGCTATTACTAAGCAGTGGAGCTCACGTTCATATCAAGAATAAAGTATGTCTCATTGATAATGTTACAGTAAAATAATAGTTTCATTCCTTCTATATCATTTAATTAATTATCTTCTTTGATTAATTTTTATCTATTTTATGCACTATTAGTTTGGTCGAAGCCCTCTAGACATAGCGAATGAGACTGCTAATGATGACATTATTGATTCGCTGAAAAAACATGCAGAAAAATTTAATCGGCATGACAGTGAGTTAACTTTCTTATGCTATTGTATTGAAATTTAGATTAAATTAGAAATACCTTCGTAGGTAGTAATTCTGAATCGTCTACCAATGATGAACTATTTATACCACGTCGTACTAACACAAATCATCTCACTCAAGGTAATATATTTTCTTCACTTTCTTTACCTTGCTTTGTTATAGATAAATTACAAGAATTTTATGCCCATATTTTCTACCTTTCAATTCAATTTCTTGATGATGTACAATTGACTTATTATTGTCATTATTTAATTTAGAAAATTCCTTTGAAAGTTTGGTTTGTGCTGCTGTAGCCGCCTCTGAAGAAAGATCCAAGAAAGTCTCTCCGTCTCAATCAACAGAGGACTTCAATATGCCTCCCGTGGTTGCTTGCGAACTAACCACACTTGCTAATGTTGCAACCTCATATATTAATAGTTCGACCGCAATAAATGACTCTAATGGGCTTTCAAATTATCACTCATGCTCTAATAAAAAGAGAGTAAGAATTCGTTCAACTATCCATCCAAGTTATAACGATAATGGCAATAATGGCAAAAAGGCAAAAGTTACACAAAAAAAGAATATCTTTAGCTGGTAAACAATTCTCGGTCAATACTGTTATTTATAAGACACGTATACTATTACCTGTTATTGATAGGGTTGCTAATTGTAAAATGTAGCGATATTTGTGATATAATTGTTACAAACTTACTTAACGTACACTTAATGACGTACTGTAATATGATAGCATGGCGACGTGATCACCTTTGTATGATATTACAAAATCGTTGCTTATGCTACGAAATATTATCGTAGTATTTGCATTATTTTGATTTTATTTAGTACTTGAAATATAACAAGTTTAACTATCGTAAAGGAAATGACATCACCGGATCTATAATTTGCATAAATTTAGTTATGACTCACTCTGATACCGATTTAGGTGTCTTATTTTACTGAGATAACTGAATGTTGTCTATATTGTATTTAAATATAGAAACCTCGAATTTTTCGATATAGAGTACGCTCCATCTAAACGACTGAATCTCGATCCGGTCATTCAAGCCGATTCAAGGCATTACTGAAGACAATCCATTAAAAATAATAGTATCTATTTTTAAGCTCCCGTAATGATTCGTACTTGAAGCTACTATCAGTTTTTACGATTGGATCGAAATACCTATCATTACAGCATATATGTACAAATAATAATCATAAGTCAGTTTTAAGAAAACTAACGACACAATAATAAGAAATTACCGCCATATTCCTAGATAAGCACGTGTTTTAACAGTATTATATTGTATACTTATCATCGATCTATTATAATCTAAAATCTTTCCCGATCAATTTAAATTATCGAGCAGTAATGTTATCAGAATTGACATTTTAACTATATACATCGATGTAGATTTTGTAAGATTGGCCTAATATTGATACTTAATTGATAATAATTTATTGCATCATTTACTTAAGTAGTAGTTTTGTTAGTAAGTAGTAGCCATATCATTTTATCACTTCTTAAGCTTGTTAAAGGATTTAAAAATTGTAATATCATTATTCTATGATTTTTTGGCTACAAATATTTATTTAAATCTCAAGGCATTTTTGATTAATTTTCTGGATAAGAAGATTTTATTTACGTCGCGATATTACATTCGTAGTATTCAACGGATTTTTTCTTACTTCTAGCTTGTATATACTGTACTTATATGTATAGATAGACTCAGCGCAATACTGTACTTTGTAACATTAAGGCACTGAGTGTCTTACAGACATGTATTTGTATCCTTGCAACACCTAGCTGACACAGCAACACTTACATGCTTCTTTATGACTAAGAAGCTTTTTCATCGTTATCTTATTATGTAGCTAATCATAATACATACATACTACACACATTTTATGTTTAGAAATGCACTGAATCATTTTATTGGTTATTTCAATGCCTCCGAAACTAAACAGTAATATATTTGTATAGAATACAAAAATCGCCATATTCTAGCTATGTAAATGTAAGCATGGTATAGTTAAAAACTTTGGTTGAACATGTCCTGTATAATCCGTTGAAGTAATATATATATATATATTATTAATCGATTTCTTGTACAAATGATTGTAAAGTTTATACTAAAATATCATAACTATTAACATGGACAATCGGTTAATATTTTAAGTTTGAAATTACAATGAAAGTTGATACAAGTGTTCATGTTTTTATCGAAGACGGTGACGACGTTACTTATTGCATAATTGTATAAAGATCATGGATTTGTAATCTTGGTAATGATGCAGAATAAAAAATGATCTTCACTAGTCATGTCCATCCTCATGTGTAAGTTTAAGTAAAGGTATGAGCTAGGATTATCTGTGGAACTAATTCTAATTCGAATGAATTATAGTAAAATTCCAAGTCTTGGTACCGAAATTCTATGAAATTTTTAATACGGGTAAAAAGCATGGGAGCTAAAAATTATGGCTAACTCTTCTTATGAATTATTTACTATATACTCAGTGGGCGATCCTATGTACCCCGTTCATTTTGCATTAAACTCTTTGCTGAAACAGTCCTTCAGATGTATTATAGGATTACAATCGTAAATAACCGCTTTCTGTTGGTTTCAGTAGTGGATATTAAATGTTATCATCTTCTATTACGTTAAAATGATTTCTCTGTGAGCGTATAATATATACACTTTACCTGATTAATCTTAGTTAAAATATCAGACCATATTAACGCGATAGTACGTATATACATTGTGTATGTAGTACAGTATATATCTCAAGAACAAAATCACTCTTAGGAATGGCCGTAACATATATATATATGTATGCTCTATTTCACTACTAATCCAACAGCTAAATAGAGTTAACGAGTTTTTAACCAGAAATTTTAAATATACAGTATAATAATAACCTCTGTTTCGCACGATCTAAAGCTTTCGATATGGACTACTAGATAACTAAAACACTATACCTGTACTGTTGACTCAGTACTTTACACCACTCCCTCCACGGTACAGTATGCGATGCACAGTGCTATACTTTAGCATAGTGTCTGGCTGCAGTGGCCTCTAGCCAATGTCATCCGGCTGCCGTACATATTATTATTTTCTATCAGCGCTGAGTAAACTTTCAGTACTTCTTTCACCTGACGACGAGCAGTAAATTAACAGTAAACAGGGAGAGAACATATTAAGTTTAAGTTCATTTACTAAATTTAAATTTGAAATAGTGATCACAGATTCATAGTACATCTTCTGCCTGAGGTTCTTCAACTTACTGTAGATTACTGCAGAGGCAAATCATTGAAGTCAATGAGAATCATCAAGTGCAATAAAAAGCAGTAGAATCTGATTAGAACCGACCAGTATTTTTTGTATCTTATTATGGGATTTGAAGTTTAAGATTATGCGGTAGTTATTAAATTATTATTTGCAGTGAGATTGATTGGCAATTACAGTATGACTGCTGTCCGAGAAATTGACCAAGAAGATCAACTTAACGAACTGCATAGCGATAAGCGAAGAATTAAGGATGTAAGATGAACTCATCAATATCTTCGATGATGTTAAGGACTAGTAATCAGTGTATTATATGAATTAAGGATGGAAGATGAACGCATCTTTGATGAAATTGAGAAATTTAAACCAAACTGTATAATATAAAATGTATATCATATCATTGAATCATTACTGTGATTGAATAATACAACTCACCTACATTAGGGATTATTTTCAGTCATCACTGCCGACGTGCAATAAAGTACAGAATTATATTATGCGTTACTCTATGCAGGATTACATTAAATAATGATGCTGTACTGCTACAACAAGGTTAGACATTGTGAGTTGATTTTCTTAGTTGCCAAATCGATGACGGTAGATTATATTCGCCGTATCACCTACTAAGCCAGTATTTACACTGTACTTTACTAGGCAGAATGTACTTCCTGAATCACTAGTGTATAGTAGTAGCACTAAGGATAAAATACTCGCATACGCGTACATCGTATCTTAATGGCAGACCTGTACCTTAGCATTTTGCCTTCATCATAAGGGTTTGTTAATCTGTATAATTTTATAGTTTCATATTGTACCGAAAGTCTACTCATATCTTACGTGCTGTGCACCAGTTGCATCATCAATCTAATCGATTCTAGTCTGCTACTACGTATCGACGAGACTATTACTGTGCTGTGCATAATTATAAATTACTCCTTCATTTTGTAACCAGTTGACTTATCGCTACGACATACCCTTACGAATTAATGAATCTTTAATGCAGATTATTTCTCAATGCGATGCCGATAAAAAGGGTTACCTTTCCATCGATGACCTTCAAGTCGCTATGGTTGCGATCTTGGGATATAAATCCAATAAAGTAAGATAAATGATATAACTGACTTTTTATACGCAAAATGCGTTTTCCGATTTAAAATGGTAATCAGCTTTAGCTTGTAATAAGATTTAATGTGGCCTTGAATAATATAAATATAACGGTTTGTTTGCTCAAGTTCCATCAGCAAACAGTCCGTCGTTCAATTTACTATTGTAATCTCTTCTCAAATTTACCCATATTAGGGAGAACTAGAAAAGTTATTATCGCCCGAATTTAATTTTAACGGTAACTTTCCCGCCTTGTAGATATCAATTTAATAAATTAACATTTCAACGACGGGGTACCAATAAATTTATCTACTTTCTTAATCAGGAATTTCACTCAGTGCTTGTGAAGACTTACTTATTACAAAATTGCAAGAGTACGATATCAACGAAAAAATTAAGGATATTTTTATGTCATTTGACGCCCACTGTAAGTACATATAGTTAGTTAGTTTTTAGCCTCATGGATATATACGAGTATTAAATTTTACAGTGTTCCGCTTTCAACTAGAATTTATTGATACCGTAGCTTAATCGAATGTAAACTGAAGAGCCAACTCACATTTATGAACTTCCCTAGATATACAATTACAGTTCGTCAATATGATGCATGATGTTGCTACATCAATATTGAATAGAGAAGGCAAACTTCTCCGTGAAGGATGTTCATATGTCTATTGTGGATAACAATTTTTATTAAGTAAATTAATTTAGAAGTAATAACAGACGTAGCTATATACGTTAAGATAAGCCAAGAGTTTATGACTTATATACATTTATTCTGTACCATAGGTCGAGGGTTTCTGACACTTAGCGATCTCATGTCGGTCTTCGATGAAGTGGCTCCAAGGATTTCCAAGGCAACCGTAACGTCCATTTTTAGGTGAAGTGAACGTAGTAAAATAATAAATTGAGTATCGGCCCATATATATGTAGATATCTTGGAAGCCAATAATAATAATAAAATTACAAGTAAATCTGCTGTCGTTAACAATAATTATTATATCACTGTATTCACTAGTCATAATCATAAATATCCTTATACAATACTGATGTATTCTTTGACCCTTATGAAACTAGGAATATCGATTTTGATGAAGATGGCAGAGTCAGTTACAGGGATTTTGAATATATGATGCGATTACATTTCGACTCTCTTCAAAAAAACTAGTGTACAGTTAATAAATAATTGATTTAAAGTATACAGCTATTCAACAAATAATTATAACCACACTGGCTAATATCTTATCTAAATAAATGTTATAAGTCTTTCGCCCCGGCATAAACAAAATATTTGGCCTTCCACGTTCGTATGAATTTTTAGTCAATTTATTGAAGCATGTCATCAATGATGAATTAATTAAAATTACGAAATTTAGTTACAAAAACACTAACAATACATTGACAAAAATAAGGATAACGAGTGATGGCATAGTATAAATGTGTATTAGCATACGTTGACTTGGGCTTGCCTATATAAATATCATACGAAAATACAACGAAGAACATGCAGTAATGAAACTTTGAGAAAGTGCACGTAGAATATGTCTACAGATATAACTGGAACATTTGCTAACTCCATTAAAATATAATGCCCAAAGTCTTCAAGTCCACAGTGTAAAACAGTTGCGATCCAATATTATGCAAGATTTATACCAATTCTAGTAAATTCTTGGCATTAATCTATATCGCTATAATGTAAATGCAGCTTTACAGAGTTGGCAAAAGAGTCGACCATAAATTTAATATAAAAACCTAATTACGTCTTATTTAAATGATTTCAATCAAGTCTTTACCTGCGATTAATAATATATATTCACAGTTGTATAAAATTAGGTTTTACGTACACGTGAGTTCTATAGCGTGCACATTATGAAGTGCACAAACATCAATAATATTACTTAGTTATAAATGATTATAGTATACCTTATCCAAATAAGCGAACAAATGCATTTGCTGCATGATCGTAAACCCTGAAACTTTCATGCACCTAAATATAGCATTATAAATATATTACGAAACTTTATACTCTTTGGTCATTAATGTTGTCGTCAGCTATTGCCACTGGATTCTTTTTCTTTCTCTGATTACTGCAGCCACAGCAGCCGCATGCAATAGGTTCTATGCGTCCTGGGTTATCAGATGGTATCAATGGTGCTACAAAGCGAATAAATATCGCAAAACCGAGCACTACCGAACAGCAAACTAATAATATAATCCACCAATTCCTTGCAGCCCAATCCAAAACTTGTTGAGTTGTTATATTCAATAACGTAGATAGAGGTCCAGCTTCGTTGACTTGCCGGCAATTGCTAAAGATGTCACAGTATCCAGTCATATTAGCACAAGAGGTACCAGGCGGGACATTAGTTTTATTGAAAAGAGTAGTCATTGTATAAGTGGATATGCAAGTTCCACCAGATTTCGATTGACAACAGAGATGACACGCTTCACTTGAACTAGAGCATTTACATTCTGCCATGTTTTGCAACTCACAAAGAGATAAAGTGCACTCCTACAATAACAAGAGGAGTAATAACAATTATAAATTACAATTTATTTAATCGCGACAAATACCATTCTAAAAAGTGGTATTTGTCATGGATGCATAAACAATTTCTTACCCCATTGGAACAGAGCTTTTGATTTTTGTTACATCTAGTTCTATCTGGTTTATTTGTTGGAGCAGGACAGTTTACAGATCCACTGCAACGAGAGATGCTAGCGCAGTCTGTTTCAGTACGGCAAACGAAACTGTCAGACGCAGGTCTAATTTGACAAGTAGCATTGTTACAGCACGGACCGTTGGAGATGCTATTAAAATTAACAGCATGTCAGCGTAAAGATTACAACTTTAGTAGAGTAATGTCAATATTCAAAATAGGTTTACTAACCTGCACTGAGCGTTAGTTGCGTATTTGCATTGATTTGTACTACCAGCCGGGTTACAGCATTTGTCAATATCACAGTGAGCACCACAGTCGCAATCTTCGCCAGTTTCAACAATGCCATTACCGCAAATTGACGCAGTACTAGCTGCATAGTAAAAATATTTTTAGGAATACATACAAATATCCACGTACAATTGTACGAGTCTGACTGATACGGTGTGATTATATCGCTTCGTTAAAGTGCAATGTAAACTAAAATTATAAAGTACAAAAAAACCATTATACTAACCCTTGAAACATGAGGCAGCCTTTACACGTAAAACATTAGTCATGGCAGTTCTGCTACAGCTGGAAAAAAAGTTGTTATTCTTTAAGTTACCAGTAGTAGCATATGCATACATAATATAGTTTCCATCCAGACCACCAGGATAGCATGATTTTTGGGTTGTATAGGTGTTATCATGCTAAAGAAAAATTCACACAATAAGATTTTTATAGCACTAAAAGCAGCTGTAGTTAATAATACAATGTAGAAGTTAGGAATGCAATAAACGGGTATAATCGAACATTTATTACAACGTTATGTTGTCGTTGTACTAGTTATAGTTGGATCTGTGTTATACCATGATAGCAAACTAATTACTAGCTTGCTATCAATAGAAAATTTGTAGGATCTCTCCATTTCAAGTTCCGTACCTGGGCACCGAAATTATGTCCCAATTCATGAGCGAAAGTAACTTCAGAAGCACGAAGTGGAACTGCTTCACCAGAATTTTGTGTTGTTACTAATCCACAATTTGTGCTTTGTTGGGTATTGGCGGCAGTAAAAGCGTAGATATTACAAATTGACCCAATATAGGCCAATCCTAGTACTCCATTTTGGAAAGTGCGATAGGTAAATAGAAAGCTGGTACAGAATTCATTGTAATTATTTTGCGAGTAGAGCTCTGAAATACAAAAAAAAAAATTGGCTTAACAAGCAGCATAGTAAAGTGCGCAATAATAATAGCGACTACTGTATTAGGAAAGAAACTTTTTCAAATTTTAGGTCGTAACTGTAAGCATAAATAAATTATAATTACTCTTGAATAAAATAACTTTATACATACTTAACAAAGCATTGACTCCAAGATTATTATTGTGCAAGACATTGTTTTTATCGACAGTCGTATATATTCGCATTTTCTTGACTTTAATCCTTGCATTATCAGTCACCCCGTCACCGTCAAGATCTGTTCTTCTATACATTAAATCTGCAGCCTAATGCAAGTGAAAAGTCTTATTTACCTATGCAGAACAGTCATAAATTGCACAGACGCAAAATATTTACATGTGAAATTCATTTCACGGTTATTTAATACCTGAGCATGCAGTACCAATCTATCAACAGCTTGTATTCTCCCTCCATATTGTTGCGTAAAGTAAGGATCGGCATCCATTTGAATTTGACAAGAATCTGCATTAGAATTGAGCACATTTCGTTTCTTCCTATTAGCGGATGATGCTGAAATGGACTCAGTTCTGCTACTTTTAGACATGATGCCATGATGCCATAATTGATAATCCGGATGAACTAAGCGCCAATTATTATGCCCACATGTGGCATTTCCACCTCTGTTTAGTTGTTAGGCGAGTCGAAATGAAAAACATGGTTAGTAACTGTAATTCTTCAAAAGAATATTTTATACTGTAAAACGTCGATGAAAAACTTACTGATGCTTATAGTGTATGTCGCTTCCCTTGTATATAACTGAATGGAAAGGCACTTTCTTAAAGTAATGTTCAGCAGGATCAAGATAATATTCTTCGTCATTGTGGTAGATTTTGCCATAAAAAACGCCATTATTTAGAACTCCGTATACAGCAGAATTCTTTTCACCTACGAACAAAATATGTTACAATGTATACCCTGAGATTTATTCATTATTATCTGATGTTTTATACTGTAATACCAAATACCAATATAACAAAAATGACACACTCTAAGGAAATGCAGTAGCCATTGCTACCGCTTGCACATGCAGTACATGAGCAGTTAATTCCCTTCTAGATCAGACTACGTAATACATACAGTATAGTCTTTATAGTACAAAATAAAACTAGTAGTCATCCCCGTGAAAATTGGGATTATCATTAATGCGATTTCAAACAAACATAACAAATAACGGCGAAACCAATAATATACGTAAGCTTATTTTAACTTACCCTTTAAGTATCCTCGATATACCTTGGCTAAGTCATAATCAATTCTTTGATGTGTTTCATCAACAGCAGTGAAATCAGGCGTGAAAGTTTCTGTATCCCTCACAAGATGAAGATGGAAATGCCTGCCACAGTTAGAAATAGCTTAGTAAGTTATCAATTCAGTCGGTACTGAGCAGCAGATATATAGAGAATAAATACGGTAGATAATAACAACGATCAGACCATCTAAACTACAAAGCTGATTCAGTTAATGAAATAAAACCTCTATTTAACGTGCAATCGCTGAATCTTAAGAACAGAATCAATTTTAAACAACTAGCTATTAAATTACCGTTTGTAAGCGGTGAACGCTAGCGATAACGCCATTTTAACGTTATGTTTTTTTACTTCTTGGTGACGTCTATTAATTTCTTCGTTGTCATAAACTAGCGTTTCATAGCGGCCGATATGTTTACTCAAAGATTGGAAACCTACAAAATGTAAAAAAAATTATTACTGTAGTATATTCAATGTTACAAGTACACATGATTCCAGTTACAACATATCAATCTGTTAATGTATCACTCTAGGTTAAAGCAGCCAACAATACAGTAACTTCTTTCTCTCCTGGGTAATTTCTGATGATGACGTGAGGTTTTTATATAAACTGATTCATTTCACTTCAGGATATTATTTATTTATTATTTACTGTATGAGAAATCTTGCTATTCCTATGTTCAGTTCAAGCCTCAGCGGCTACCAATAAAAATAGAACCACTACAGTTTATACTATACTGTATAAATAGGAGTTGAAGCCTCAACAATTTCTGGGTAAAAATGATATGGATGGTCGCGGCGACACCCAATATACAGCATGAAGTCGATGATTTAGATCAGGTTTTTTACACAAGTTATTTCTTTGTCTTACAACATTACTTTCTGCATCAATTCGTTAAGCAATTAGGATCAGGCGTTACGAATAAACAAACACTGCAAGTCATCATGCCACTAACCCTCCGATTGCGAATGAATGTACGTAAAATCAAAGGCAATGGTAAGAAATGATGATGACATTATTGAGAGGTTTATATCACGTTTGAATTATTGTACACTAAAAGATCGATAGCATCCTTTCAGGGTAGGCAATGGTAAGAAATGATGATGGCATTATTGAGAGGTTTATATCACGTTCGAATTCAATCGTAGGAAAAAATGATTGTACACTAAAAGATCGATAGCATCCTTTCAGGGTAGGCAATGGTAAGATATGATGATGGCATTATTGAGAGGTTTCTATCACGTTCGAATTCAATCAAAGGGAAAAATGATTGTACTCTAACAGATCGATAGCATCCTTTCAGGGTAGAGCAATAGGATAGAAGTTCATATTGCAACAAAGATGGATCTATCTGCTAAGTAATTGCAGTGCACGCCCATGCGCTATTAGCGTTTACGTACGCATAGTAACCTATCCAAATTATACGTCTAAAAGTACGAATACTGTGAAATACTCTCTACTCAGTCAACAAGCAGAAGAAGTACGATGAGCGAGGGGGATTTTCGACTCTTGCAGACGATAAGTATTCATATTGAATTCATGAATCGGGACGATCAATATCACGTCGTATTCGTGTGGAAAGAGGGGGGTTGTCAAAGGAGAAGGCCCATATTTAGCCCCTTTCGATTCTTTTGGTCACCATGGTATTCAGATCAGTTAAGAAAATATCTCATGACTAATTGATGTTGGTTTCGCCTGTACATGGATAACTATTACTGTGATAGCTATCATCCCGATTGACAATTGCTGATTATGGTGTAATAACAACATTCATTCGATTCGTTCCTCAACGATTAGAATTCTAATTAGCGTTGATACCAGCGTCAACCAGACAAGATGAAATGGTGCAAGTGAACATTACCTTGGGAAAATCCAATACAAACGATAGCTAAAATGAAAATTATCGGCTTGCTCTCCATCATTGGCAACCAATGTGCACAGGAAGATGACAAGGAGGAATAATTTTTTCCAATTTAATGAATTCTACCCTTCCAATCAAGAATGCTTTTCGTATACGAGTAGAAGTAGGTAAAGTAAGCCAGCGGGCTGTTGCTTTCTCCCTGCCCAGCCCAATTGATAATCTTCCAACTAGACCTGAGTCCGGTCCGGTTCGGTTCAGTACCTTTATGATCTATAGTTAACAAGCAATGGCAAGCGTGCTCAACTACAGTACTGGTAAACACCCTCAATCCAACTTACAGTACAGCATACTGTACACTGTACACTGTAGCGCAGTCAAGTCCGGTATGGACCGATCTCGGACCTCTTCAGCCACAGTACAATGTACTGTACTCGCTTGTTTACAGTAGACAGTACTGTATGAGTCATGCCGACTGGAAAACCTACGCACAGTACGACTTTTGACTATGTTTTGAGTAGAAGAAAATCACGACTATGGCGGTAGAGAATCAAAGAGGAGAGACTAAACGGCGCAGAAAAAGACAATGGCTGCTTTGTAACTGCGGTCAATTTGCAGAAAAGAAATGGATGTTGTTATGACCTTGTACTACAGACAGCCAAGCGCGGCAAGAAATTATGGAAGAAAACATTGGCGTTGAAAAAGCCCCTATTGACCGTATTAACCATTTCCGGTATGTCAACAAAATACGTACATCCGTCTGTCTGTTTGCTACAGTAGACGTCGATTTGGACATGGCATTCCGCCCCTACAGTACAGTACTGTACACAACAGTGGAGTCGACTCAGTACGGTACTGTATCTAGTCAAGACCGGACCTCCAACACCAGCATTGCTTAGCCATAACGCTTTTCCACATCATTATTAATTAGGGAATTTATTAGAGTGGCATAGCGTTAATTTTCCTTTATTATTATTCATTAATCCATCACCGGACGACTAGACTTCATTTCACTACCAAACAGGCTGCTAATGCTTTAAAGTCAAGGATGTCTTCAAGATCACAGTAAGGCGAAATGATCTCCCTATGCACTTGATTCTACCTCGCTATTGAATTTATAAATAGGATCGATGTTACACGCACAAATTACTGTACCTCTTCATTAAGCTATATATGGCATGGCAAAGGGCAAATCTTGACTGTCTGCAGCAGACATGATAATGCCATCATACGAGTATTTTTGATCATGGATTGATGTTGGTGACAATAGTTCAATGATATCAAGCTACTCAATTTCACTGTATAGCTCACATATACCTTAAAACTAGTTTTACGGCTTCTTTTAGCCGTTTGGATTACATCGGTAGACAACGAACGTCTTGTATCCTTATTGATTATTATAATTTTGTCAATGAAAGAATCAAAATTGCCCCTGGTGCAATAGTCTGCCAGCAAGCTGAACTAAAAGGAGAGATCTATATCGGTAAGCCATCCTATGATAGACATAAAATGATATCGAAATTTCTCTTATTACGGAATGATGTAGAAATGAGATAATCCTTTACCTTGATACAAGCATAGCGTACTAGTATGTCCCTCGGATATACACTTCAAGACGGTAGTGCCCATCATGGCAGCCAATTTTCCAATCATACGATATTCGAAATAACAAAGTTGTCAACGGTAAAGTGTACTAGCTTCTTTTTTTTTATTAGGTGCCAACACGGTTGTTCACCCTAGAGCTTTTATTATGGCCAAAGCTGGACCCATCCATATAGGAGAAAACAATATTATTGAAGAGCAAGCTTATATTCACAATAGGTTAGTTTTGGATAGACTATGCAGGAAATACTGTACATTAGCTACTCCTACTCCTATATATCGTAGGGTTGTTTATGAAATTCGTGCTTATACGTACTCGTATGTTGCAGTTTTTTAACCGAAGATGAAAAAAAAAAGAAGGATAAAGACAAACCGGAACCAGTTCCCATGCATATCGGAGACTACAATGTTTTCGAAGTTGGATGTCGTATCCTTTGAACATACTGTAATTGATTATAGTCTGTACTGTATGTAAAACTGCTTCATTGCTAGTCAATGGTATCAAGCGATGTGATAGGCGATTTAAAGGCAGTGATTTAGATACTTTTATACCCTTAACCACCCTTTTATTATACAGGAATTGAATCTAAGCAGATTGGTAATAGCAACACATTCGAAGCCAAAGGTATAACTCAACAAATATATATTCAGTACTAGCATTTCATTCCAAGTGGGACCAATTCCTTGATTACATATAATCAAACAGCTTACCGCTTATAAATACTAACATTTTTCTTTGCCAATATTTAGCCAACCAATCTGTATATTAAACTGTTCAATAGTCAATGTTATGATGTAAAAGGCAGACAATATTCTTTCATAATTGTATTCCTACTTCGTCTTTGCATAATCATCATAGCTATCGTTGGTAGAGATACGAAAATTACAAACAACTGCATAATTGGAGCTCACTGTCAACTAAGTGCCAATGAAACAATACCTGAGAATACGATAGTATATGGTGATGAATGTCATCAAAAACAACATAACGAGACGCCTTCAGTAAGTTTCGACTATTTTGTGTTATCAGACCTGATTTCATATTCCATAAGACGTGTTACCCAATCAATGATCGTATAATAATAACCTCAAACTCATTAGAAACAAGATGACCAGCTGGGGTTTTTAATTAAAATTCTTCCAAATTATCATAATCTGAAAAAATCGAGTAAAAAGAAAGGTTCGAAAGACTCATAGTATATGTCACCTGTATCAATTCTTCCGTAAGTCGTTATTTGTCGGGATTTTCATACAGAAGTACATTATCAAATGTTAAACATAAATTATCCCTCTTGCAGTATTATTAAAGATGCTTTATTTCAATCCCAGCTTTTTACTTAATACTGTAGAAATCGCAAACGACTTGACCGCATTTGGTCAATTGTTTAAATACTATGCTGTACATTTATCGCATTGATCTATTTATCTTCCTTCAATGGTGTAGTATAACTTGTCTATCTTGAATCCTTATAGGCAGTTTTATATGTTTCTTATATATATAGCTTACTGATTGTTTAGACTGTAAATATATAAGTTTCATGTTAGAAAAAACAAACTGGATGGTTTTAAATATCAAATCTTGCCAGACTTTGCTGATAGCGCAGAAGTGGCCAAGGCTTCTAGAATTTTTCGAATTCAATGGATGTAAAAATTATATTGCTATGTGCTTGATCTGTTTCACTGTACTCCTTTAAATTCTGAATGAAATAAATTTAATATTTAGCTATTATACACTCTTACTAAATGCAGCTTTAATACTCTTACAGAGTTTAAGTATTCGAAATCTTTATTGCTGTCAGCCCAGAGTAGCCGATATTATCGTAGTTTTATGTATTACAATAATTTGTCTTCAAGAATTTTATCCATAGATTATTTTGCGATTGATCAATCTGATACCCACTCTTTAGTACATTCTATAATAATCCTAGCAAATGAAATATAGGCATATAAGTATGATACACAGCGTATCTATACTACATAGACAACTACATAACTGATATCCACACTGTTATGTAAATATACTGGTGACAGTTAACTAGATAAAGTACAGTGTTTCGTCAAAGTCAACAAAACTTTTGAAACTGCATTTACTCACTGAGAGTAACGATTTACCGAATAATAACTTTTCGCCGTTAGAATATATCAAAAATTAATTATTTCTTGAAATTCTACCAGTAAGTCTTTTCAAACAACAATAATGAATAATACGCTGTAGTAAAGGAACCATATAAAGCGAAACAACTGAGTACAAAATGGAACTGTTGCACTCTACTCTACAGGGATATCGCCTTAATCTTGCAACCTGTTAACTTATTGTCATGAATATTGTATATTGTACTTATGGATTCTACAGCATTACTAAACGTTTATGTCAATAGAAACGATAGGGTGCGGTAACTGTGGTAATTAATAAAAACATGGCTTGCATGCATTGAATCAAAGGATTACGTTTAAGTAAAGAATCCGTCAGACAGTAATCGCATTGCTCTTAATTTTTAAATAAGTAATAGCTAATTATCGGTAGTGTCAAATTGCCCTTGTAAATTGTGATTTGCAAGAAGTACCGGTACTGGAAATGAAGATACTGCACAAAAGTAGTAAATGCTTTAATCTTTGTAAACCTTAAGATATACATATAGTTGCTACAATATTAAAACTTCTATGACTGGTAAGCAATAGATTATAATGATAGACCTTCTATAGTACATAAAAATGTACATGTTACGTATGCATGAATAAAATATTGCCATCTATCACTGTAGTATCAAATAGAAGCTATGCTTAGGTTAACAAATAAATTTTCAAGTCTTTTCAACGAAAATTAGTTAGTATCCCTTAAAAATTATCAATTTTATTGTATAACGATATTTTTACTGTAGAATCTAAAAGGGTAAATTAAGACTGACGATGTTGTAAATGGTGCCATAATTGTTAAGTTAAGGCCTCAAGGCTATTGTGAACTGTTGCACATGCAATATCTTATCTTTTATATTACTACTACTCGTCCAAAGGTCAAATGATGAATGGCAATAATAAAATGATCCTCAATCTAAATGTATAATATAGCACAGTAGCTTCCAGCTTTTTAGTTGTCAGGACCCCTTTTTGAAATGTATATGTCATATATATACTTAGTCTATTTAATACTGTAGATCCCAACCTAAAGTCAGAAAGGATTCCAAGGTAGTTGATGGCCTAAATAAGTAAACACTTGCATTAGCCATTGCAATTCTATTTCGATGACTATAGTTTAGTCGGTATGAAGACAAAGTTACGGGTTTGTAAGATTAAATTCCGGTATCATACTGGATTCTTCAACCTTATTTATTCATTTTACTAACTGTACTGTAAATAAAATTTTGATTGCGTATCAACTTATTTACTAAATTTGTCTAGATTAAATAAATAAATTGGGTCGTTGTTGGACTTAAGACAAGCTATTGTATCAATACAGAATTCAATAAAACTGGCTTTAGTAAATCTTGTTCTGTTTAATATTAATGACTGTAATAGATGGCATATGAGAACATGATAATGCAAAATTAGTGGAAATTGTATTGCAAGTGAAGGATTACTTTTTCTTCATGATTTTCCAGTCATCTCATCCCTTAAGAATGTACTGTTGTTGCTAGTGGTCAGAGGGCATACTATATATGACGGAACGGGAAATAAAATCAACACCATACTGTCATTAGTTGGCATTCTCGATCGAAAGTTGAGATGTTTTGCATGCATAAAATCTATCTGGTTACGTCTATAGCGTATTGTAGTTGATATTATATTTTTTTGATATGCTCTTATTGTGCGAAGGCATTGCCTACTCGTTGCTGCATTTCTCTCAAATATATAACAACTTCCGTGCAAATATTAACACAGAAAAGTGAGGAGTTTTATAGGAATCAATAACAAGAATTAATATGGTGATTCATAGTTAGCAAAGTCGAGTTTGTCACGTTTTATCGGTAGAATCTCTGTTAGACACAGAATTATGATCACCTGAACAGAGTTCTAGGAGGAAAGCTCCAATAACCCTCATCAATAAAAAGAAGGCACTAATGGCATGTACTACGAGCATTGTTTGACAAAGAATAGCATTTATAATGAGATGCAAATTTTAAATTTTGCATTGTCATGGGCAGTTAAAGATGATAATATCATATAGGAACTTCATAAATTTGCTTAGTCTTTACAACATCATCATATTTTACTATGCTAATCACATGTTAGCACATGCCGGTCATAGTAAACTGCACATATAATGCATCATCGCGATTTAAAGTGATCATTCCAAGATTTGAAGCCATACCCAATTACTATCTTAAGGTATAATAGCACAGGGTTTTGAAAGTAGAGCAACATTTTCGCCTGGCGTACGCGTAAGGTAAGTTGGACGTAGCAATTAACTCACATGCATGTACAGAGACAGAACTCAATATAGAATAAAATAATAATTTATATATAATTATTATAACTTTGAATTTAGATAATTAGATACCGGTTTAACCTAAAATGATTTTAGATTCAATTTATAGTTGCAGTTCATAGTCAAGATTATACCTAGAATTACTTTTTAATTCTGGAAACTGCCGTAACATTTCTACTACGGGCAAAGTAGACAGGCTACTTTGCAACATACAAGTCATCAAGCTGTAATGTAGTTCTGATAGTAATCAAATTTAGACCTCGAGCATCTTACATAATTCATTAATAATGAAAGGAACTTTGAAATTAATCAATTACACGTTTCTACTTCATATTTGTACAGTTCTATGATTCCTGTATCAATTGTGCTTTTATAGTAGCATATGGTAAAAGTGTCTTTCGCCCAGTTTATAGGTATACATTTGATATAAATGCAACACTGTTAATCTTCTATGCAATATATCGGTAGCGTAATTTGGATACTTGTACGCCTTTAGTTTAACTACTTTTGGCACGACTATCAAATACTTGATAGTGGCCATGAATGAAAATCTGCTAGTATTGGACTATTAATTTATCTTTAAGGCTGCGATAATTCTCCTTCACTCTGCATGCCGCTCTTCAGATATTTATTAGGAAGGGGGTGGAGATTGACAGACAATGCTCCTCCATGCTGCTACACGTTCAAAAATTGAAAGAGACAAAAGCACCGTTGCATCAGATCACAAATATGCAGATAGTACAATGCTCTATTAGGTGTCCTTACTCTATACTTTAATAGTTCTTTATATGCTCTGTTGATCTTGACTAATTTTTGATTTACTGTATTTTACCCCTAGCTGGTTAGCCGACGTTGTTTAATTAATTATAAGTATAAGCGAAATACAATCTAGCCCATGATTGTAATAGTCGTCGTAACAATGAAATGGAATGATGATTATTATAAATTCATGATACTTTTATCAATTAAAGCATATTGCAAATTGGTTGCTATCAAATAAAAGCAGCTAATTTAAATCATTCATTAAATTGGGCAACAGTTTCCTATTCTTCATTCCTCACTTTAAGCTATCCATCCGTTTATCACCCTAGATTTTAGTACGTTTCACGATTGAATTTTCACACGCTTTTCGAGTCCTCGTTGAAGAAATAAACCACGTATGTGTGTTAACTAGCTATTCTTAGACCTTTTCTCAAAAAAATTTACATCTAATCATGTCATGAACAGATTGTAGAATGTTTGGGCAGTAGATATAAGTTTCCGCCCTCATGGCACCATCATGGGGTCTCAGAAGCAAACTTTTAATAAATTTCCGCCTATAGAAATATCATTTTAAACATATAAGAAGTTGTTGAGTGATCAAAAATTTAAATAAATCAATAGATACAATCTATTTCGCTTTAAATATAACCTAGAATTAACAAGTTGAAATTAAGTCGTTATAATATATAGATATTTAACAACAATATATAAGCTTTAATGAAATAACTTTCTTTATTCAAACAGGATCTAATTTATCAATTTTTACTAGAAGAATCATTATCAATTGATCTTAGCTCTCAATCTACAAATGGGTAAGGTTTCAAAGTATTCTCGTATTTTATATTTATATAATCTGACAAATACTATTAAAATAAGATGGTGTTTAAGATTCAATATAATTATTCATAAGCAATGATCGTAAGCTACGGACTATGAAAAACTTCAGTTATATTTCAGTAGTCCATATTTTAGCATTCATCAATTTTACACAAAGCTTGTGATTTATGATATAGAATGTCACTGATAAATCGTAAGTATTAGCACGCGTATCTACTTTTATATCGATTCAAGTAAAGGCTATGAACTGATATATAGCAAGAAGAAATAGATGAATGTATCATAAAGTAGGTTAACCTACAGCTGGCATTCTTCATTTTTTATATGCGCATGTATAATTATAAATTTACTTGGATGCTTTAAATGTCAAAGTAAATTGCTAAAATTATCTGTCGTTGATCCAATTTCGATCCATTCTTAGTTTTACTCATTATAAGAATATAATAAAGATTTTACTAGACTTCAACAGCTGACTTAAGTAATTGAGAAGTGTACATAAGAAGGAAATCTATTGATGAGATATTAAATTTTTAATCTGTTATACGCAGAGATTGATCATTACTATAATATTAAATTTGTTCTCATGGTATGATCTAACTATCATTAATCCATTTAAATATGCCTATAGCTTGCTCTAGCTGCGGTCCGGGATACTTAACACCAATCGATGCTATGAAAGGTCCTAAAGAGAAATTACTATATATACCTTGCATTTATAATAATACTGATGTTAAGAAGCCAGATTATCTAGCAACTGTTGACGTTGACTTGGAATCAGAGACCTATGGTCAAGTATGTTCCATCAATAAGACACGTTTCCACTACTACAAACTGACAAATACTGCATTATATGGTTCATACTTTGCAATCGATTTTTATCAATTCTTCCAAAGCTTAAAAGTTATATTCTAGATTAAGGACTGTAAACTAATATTATTCGATATACGTTACCGTTATACAGTACACCACCAGGCCAAATTACCCAGAATCAAGCATATTATTATATACGACTGTCATATTTTATTTGATAAATAATGTATATCAAAGTAGTGATATGAGGAACAAATAGTAATTAATCTTTAAATCGTATCGTAAAAATATTAAATGCGTAAGTAACTAATCCTGCATTTTAAAACAAGTTTTTCAACTATTTTAATTTACTGTTAATGAATGTTTTAGGTCATTCACCGGTTGCCTATGCTTCACATTGGAGACGAAATCCATCATTCAGGTAAATTTGTATTCTTTACTACCTATGCTAAGTAACTAAATGAATTGCGTGTAGTTCTCCAAATAATAATTAATCATTATTAAAGAACATCAATCAATACTATTCGATATACTATGATCAATTAAATATTATACTTACAGTATAATGACTAAATAGTCTTGAATTTACTAAAAAGATTTTCTATAAATTAAAAGTAGTTTAGTCCTAAGTACAATATGGTCAGTTTTACTATATCGGCGTATTTTTTTAAATATACTCTTAGATATAGTGAATAACCATATCATTTTTAATGCATACACAAAAAGATAGGTATCACTGCAGTATGATAACTTCCAAGTAGAAATTGAGTGAGATACGTAGCAACGTAGACCATAGTATGTTAAAATAATAAAAATGTCAATAGTTGTAGACAGTTGACTGGAAAAAGCTTACTAGTCGTATACTTTTTCACATACATATTTTTAATTTAAACGAAAGCAAAATTACCGTTAGAACATAATATCTTCTGTAAATTCGATAATAATAACACCGATTGAAGTTTAACTTTAAAGCAAAATCTAAATCGTGAGCAGGAGGTATCTACATTACTCTATTTTACGTAACTATAATCTGGTACTGTTTTTTGTAGCATGCTTAAAATAAGTTATTGTAAGTGTTAGATTCTAGCTCTATGGTCTTCTAAATGTATTGTCTACTTTAAAATGTTGATATGCTCTTGGTTTGCTAATTAGTTCCTTAACTATAATTATTTCTTTAGGCTGGAATACTTGTAGCAGGTGCTTATTAATTATAAGCTTTATAACGAACAAAACAGCGCGTGATATACAAACTAAACAATAATCCTAATAGTTTCTCAGCTATCATAGTCTCTTGCCTTATACTGATCAGAATAATTAGCCAGAATATATCATGATCTGCATAAGACATTTAAATTTTCTAAATTAATAGTGTAATTAATATATATTATGAAATGGATCGGTGTTGTAATAGGATGCTATAATTGTTTCGTTTTTGCAAATTGATTTAATAATTTTTAAGATTCTTTAATTGCAGTTGGCTATTTGATTTAACAACACTTAATATTTTTCATTATGTAGCTGCTTTGGAGATTCGACTAAAGAACGTAATAAACTGATATTACCCAGTCTGAAATCCAGTAGAGTATATGTTATTGATGTTAAAACAGACCCTAAAGCTCCAAGAATCTTCAAAGTAAATATTATTTAATTAATTCGCTTTATTAAAATACAGTTGGAATCGGTCTATTCACTCACGTATTGCTTTCTTATACTTACATTAATATATAGTATTGAACAACTACTGCATAATTTGATTTATTGGCGTAGGTAGATAAAACAATAAAGTAATTATGCATTTGCTATTGTTTTACTAGGTGGTTGAGCCGGAAGAAATTTCCTCAAAGACTGATCTAAGCTTTCCTCATACCAGCCATTGCCTAGCCGATGGAAATATAATGATTAGCTGCTTAGGAGACTCAAATGGGGAAAAAAAGGGTGAATAGTTATTTATTATCGATTTTAACCCTATATTGTCACGTTCATGTTTATACCATGATACTTATCTTAATACTAGTTATCCTTTACTGAGCACAGGCGGATTTGTACTCATAAATGGCAAGACATTTGAGGTTACAGGCAATTGGGAAAAGGAAGGCAATAATGCCGAATTTGGATATGATTATTGGTATCAACCTCGCCATAACGTCATGATAAGCACTGAATGGGGAGAACCAAATGCACTAAGTGCTGGATTTAGTATGGAAGATGTACAGAATGGTAAGCTAGTGTTGAAAATTCAACTCATAAAATATATAATAACCACAAATAATTAGCCATTTGTAGGCTACTGATGAATGTATTCCGGCATTCTATAAGAGTTCTATCACAGTATATTAAATATTAATTATTGCATCAGATACACTAGTGATATGAAAACTGAATAATTATTTTTAAGGTAAATATGGTAGCAGTCTCAACGTTTACAATTGGGAAGATCATACCCTACAGCAGGTAATCCGCCTTGGGAACGAAGGAATAACACCACTAGAAATTCGTTTCTTACATGATCCCAATGAAACTCAAGGATACGTGGGATGTGCTCTGAGTAGCGCTATATTTAGATTTTATAAAACGGAGGTAAACTTCTAGGTCATGTATTTAATATTTGTTTCTGCTCCAAACTTCGTTTTGAAAATTTAAACAATTACTATAAAATGTAAATCTATAGAAAGGAGATTGGGCCGCTCATAAAGCAATTCAGGTACTTCCAAAAAAAGTAGAAGGATGGGTCCTACCCGAAATGCCAGGTACGATGTTACGCTATCATTATTTGATAATTACTTTATTCTTAAAATTTGAATCTTATCCTATAAAATCATATTAGGTCTTATAACCGATATTATTCTGTCTTTGGACGATCGATATTTGTATTTTTCGAACTGGTTACATGGTGATATAAGACAGTACGACATAACTGATAGGGCTAACCCAAGACTCGTCGGACAGGTATGACAGGACGATTACCAACACATATACACGTACTCGTATGACATAATTCGTATATAATGCCAGTTTCTAGTTGATCGTTTAGCGCAAAACGCAGTTCAATACCACTAAACGAAGTAACTATATGTCTTCGTGAAAGGCAGTGACAAATAAATTAGATTTAATCTCAAATTCTTTTTAAATACTAGCATTATTAGATTAGTATACAGCATAAAAATAAATATCTTCGAAGATAGCGAAGGCAGAATATAAAATGCTGGTATAGTATACACCAGCTCTAGCAATAACGTGATCCATTATATTTAATACTTTTACCCAAGTTATTCGAATCACAGCAAAACCATTTACTTTTAGTAAAACAAAGATGACGAAATGCGCTCGTATAACTTCATGTTTCATCTAACTTGTGCTAGCTTCTCTTTTATAAATTTGAAACTAATTTTTTCATTTTACTATCTTAAAGATCTTCCTTGGTGGAAGTATTGTAAAGACAGGGCCGGTCAAGGTAATCCAAGACTCCGAGCTTGAAGAGCAACCTGATCCACTTATCCTTAATAACCGAAACATTGATGGAGCCCCTCAAATGTTACAACTAAGTTTAGATGGCAAACGTCTGTTCGTTACCACATCACTATTTAGTCCTTGGGATAAACAGTTTTATCCAAATTTATTAAAGTATGTACTAAGTACCGAAATATTCCCCTTTGTGAAGGTCACAAATCTACTCGTGTTATCCGACACAATAGTGTTATTTCATAAGTTTATAGCTAGATACTAATGTAGCGTATCTATTAAATCATATTGGAATATGTACAATCTTAAATTTTCTATAACCTCATTTTCTAGAACTGGATCGGTTTTGCTACAAATCGACGTTAATACTGAAAAAGGTGGATTAACACTTTCGAACCTTTGTGTGGATTTTGGTAAAGAGCCAGATGGTCCTGCGCTAGCTCATGAGGTTCGATATCCAGGCGGAGATTGTACGTCGGATATATGGATTTAAAGACTGTACTGATACTTCAAGAGACCTTAAATAAAACCTTTGGACTCCGCGATACTGCTTTACTACGGCAACTACGCTATAGACATATCGGAATAAATTGTAACTTTAGTATACTATAGGACAGAGTTCTGTGAATATAAACGTAACTGGTTACATAGAAGTAAAGTACTGTAATGTAGAGGCATTGCCAGTTTCTTACAATTTACTACTTCGCATGCTATTATACTAAATTAATCACTATTTGTCTTATATTATTGCCTTGCTTACCTTATTCAACTGTATCCTATACGCAAATCCTTAAATCATAACTTTCATATTATTTCTTGTCTTTAACACTGAAATGTACAGTTATTTTTGTAATTATTAAAGAAGGCTGGCATTCAAGTGCTTTATATTCGTGAAAGTTTATAATCATTACTGTGATCAATTTACTGGTAACGCCGAAATTTAGCCGTGTTTACTACATATTGTAAGCGTGAATATACGTTCATTTTACGCACACCAAGGTTAAAAATATTTTAAATGGGAAATAGCGGTAGTTATAACTATAGCTTTAGTAATTAGCTGAAGTTAACTTATCAACCTTGATTAAAAGTTTACCTGCAAAAGATAAAAAGGCGCAAAAGTGTCATAATATCAGCATGGAAGGTAGCATAAGAAGGATAATTCCAATCCTTATTATCCAAAGTAGTAGATTTGCTGAGTTAAAAGTAAAAATTCAGACGCTAGGAATTATCTGCTAATATACCACGCTTGTATCGAATCTTGCAAATTATTTGTCGAAGAAAAGTAACAATATTGGTTTAAAACGAAGTCCTATCCTTATCGCTATAACTCTAACCCCATTAATGGTAAATACGTTCTGTATACTTGTAGACTCGTTTATAAATGGGTCAATAGTGTGCTCCCCAAATTAGCTTAAGATAGAATTAAACATTTTAGGAAAATAGTTCAGGTTGCGAGTTGATTGTAAGATTGTGCTAGTATCTATTCTGAGATAATACTGATAGTACGTGGTGTAACCCTTTTGTGACCGATTTACGACGACTTTTTAGATATTAATACGGTGGGCTAAATCTAGTAATTTGACATTGTGAAGAATTTCCTGTAAAACTTTAATTGTTAGCATTGGTTAGAAATAGATCGTACGGTAGTAGATTTGGCTAGACCGTGCAACTTAATCAGCAAAATATGATTGTATATACGATGGCATTACTAAAATAACGTAAGGGATAAAAGTTATATATATCAGGCATAAATTATATTACTTACACAGCTGAGCTTGTCTTTTCGGCTAGTTATTAATAAGTCTTAAATAGATAATAAAAGGTAGATAAGTATAGCTAGACGAAACAAAGTCTAATTAATGAAGTGAAGTATTAACAAAAATAATAAGCGTCATTTAAAGAGTTTGAAAACGCCTTATCACTGAGCTTTTATTAATAAATCGCATTTCCATCGTTGCAGATATAGCAGTGGCGGAGTACATATTTGAAGAAAACTTGCAACCTATAATAGCTACGTGCGCAATGAGTGATATTGAATAATTGGCAGTGTAACATAATTACATTAGGGTTTGACTAGGTCGCTTCACGTAGGTATGATGATATTGCTACCGTACTTATACTGTAAAAGAGTAAGCTGCAAAAGCACATAGTACAGTATAAGGATGTTTTAGTGTTAAAATCAGTAACAGAGGTGCCCATGTTTTATGCAAGCATAGACAAAAATGATACAGGTAGCATGATGTTTTACTTACTATTCTTACTAAATTTCTATGGTAAAATCATTTTTATACAAAATAAAGTCTACCATTTTGATTAAAAATACAATTCCATAGCTGGTCTTATTTCATTTTACACCCGTACTCTAAATGTTAAGTATTAGAATAAATTAACTTTAATTTAATTACCATAAATAGTGTAGCGTTATCAATATGGCGAAGTTATTTCATTCAGTTAATTAAATTAAAATATTAATCTCAAAAATCAAGATATCTCCAAATGCATGTAATCAGCAATACCATTTCGAGTGCAATTGTACGTATATATTGTTTGCGGAAGGGTAAACGTAACCTAAAGTCTACTGAGTTTCATGGTAATATAATTAAGTACTACTTGCCAAAATAAATAAAGTTCAGTATATGCATTTGAGATCTTCGACTCATATATCGATTTAATTACGCTACTTATCACAAAAGGTATTATCCTATCCGATTTTGTTAGCCCTTCATTATGTGCAAACTATACGTATTAGCCCAGATACTAAAAGCTTCCAGCTTTAAACGATAGTAAGTACAGTAATTTAAAAGGATAACTGGAGTTGAGACTGTTTTTTACCACAGTGCTAAATATTTTAATTCAGGCATGAAGGCACCGGTATACCGTTACTTTCGTATGTTTACATTTAAATCTATAATTTAAATTACTACTTTAACTATTGCCGCGAAGCAGTCTGCTTGATCGTAGCAAAACTTTACTACCTACTCTTAGTTGATCTCCGTTTAAGTAGAAGAGACCTGCAGTGACGGAAACAAATTTATTCAAGTGTTTACTGTTCGTAAGAGATAAATGATAGCGTTTACGGTTAAGGTCTTTATTGAATCAGATTACGAATTATTATAGTGTACTCTACTACAACATAATTGAAACTCTATCTAAAAAAGCGATATCCCAGCTCTTAATATAATTTTTATGACTATGTACATTATTGCACAGTACACACAGGCGCTGGAGCTTATTTTTCTCGAGATAATACAGTTTACTATGAGCTAATAAATTTTATAACCTTTATCAATATTAATATTTATAGCATAAATAGGTGCTATTAAGCACTGTTAAAATTTATTAATTAATATTAATTATCAAATCAGTTACTTAACACTTCTCGAAGACAGCACCGGCAAATATTTGGCATCCACCATATCGATATTTACTATACTTCCTCTAACTATCAATATAGCAATTAAGGCTTTGCGATTTAGGCTAAACATAAATAAATTAATAATTTAGCTGAATTCGTCAGACGTCAATATTATTTTAAATTACCACAAAACATGGATCGAGCTCCATAATAACTATCAGGACCGGCCACAGTTTATATGTTCTGTTGCTCTGAAATGCTATTACACGGTACAGAAATGAATGATAGTAATTTAGGTAGCATATTTAATTTTAAAAAATAATATAATTAGTCTCCAGAACATAGTCCTTATTTCCTATAGAAATAAATCGGCAGTCACGTAGTATGAGCGGGTCTCTGTCATTATTATGCTGATAAAAGCGGAATCAAACCAGTGACAATGGTGGTATACTTTCTTTATTTTTGTCATAGCTTAATCTAAGTTAATGATTAGCATAAAAAGAGATAAACAATTTCAGTTTAATCATACAATATTGATAATGTACAACGTGAAACACCATACAATACAGTTAGCTTGCTTATTAATATATAGTTGATTGTAACAATATTGCTTCAATTTATCGGTTTGAATCGCATATTCCCGTAAACTGATGACGTGTTACATTGATATAGGTATGAATAATATAATGACTTTCATCAATGTATAGTGATATATATAAAAGGTCTGTACTATGCCTTAGGGCAATCTAGTATCTCAACATGTTATTCTATAGTAATACATTGTATCTTAATTACTTTTACCAATATCGTGACTAATTGTATATTTTTTCATTAATGATGACTTACTATATGTAAATACCATTCGCGTTGTATGGTATAAGGGGAAAAAACCTTGTTACTATTGTACTTGATGTCTAAATAAATTTAATATTTTGAGTACTATTATTCTAGTGTCTTTACTGTCATCTGATAATATCGTGCAAGCTAATACACTATTTTCGTATGATAACGCTATCAAATATTCTGTAATAAACTAAGAAAGCTTACTGTTGTCTTGACAAACAAATGCGACAGATTTTTTTCTTAAGGCAATTTACGCTAGTTTTTAACAATTATGCTGCCAAATCATTGAAATTGCCAAATTTTATCACAGACTATACTTTAAAAAAGCAAATGATAAGCTATTCGTTAAATTTAGCATAGATTTTTTTTTAACTTGGTATTTACAATCATAGCATCAGTTATGGTGACTCACCATCATCTTTAACGTAAGACAGTACTGAATATATTTATTTGTAGAGCTGTAGTCTTAATTAACTGACATTGATAATCTAAGAACTATAGTGATTGTATGCACTATCTAATTGTATGTATGATAACTTTTCCGAAAAACAGAGCTTATGCCATGATTAAAAATATAAAATCGAATCAATAAGTAGTAAACATCATTAAATTTGGTATAGCCTTACTTTTTAATAAATACATGGAATAGTTGCAAAAATAGCAAGATAGTAAAGACTTAGCTTGACTATAACCGATAAGCTATGGTGCTTGACAAATTGATTTGCAGTTAATACGAATTACTATAGAATCTTTACTCAATATAACGAACACTGGCATATATTTCTACTGCTGGTAAGCTCGAAAAAGGGTTAGAAATGAGTATATTGTATCTATCTTTAATGCCGTAAAATTTTCACAGATCTTCGACAAAATTAATAATGGAAATTCAAATTGACTTTATCGTCAACTGATTGCTACCTATTTATCTTCTTCATATTTTTGATAACTAATGTATCATTAATGCCAATTTTCTGTGTGTTGACTTCGATTGCACGCATTACTTAATTATAGTTTTCTGCTTTACACAAAAAGCGTCATATGATATGTAAGAAATTAAAAAATTAAGGAAATCATAGCAAAAGTATTTAAGTTCATATCAATTGATAGCTGGAATGATTTAATACTTTAATGAAAACAAAATGATGTTCTATAGGATATCGTAAACGACCTCCGTTGATAAAAGATGATATAATCGTTTATTAATCATATTGGCCAATTTCCTCACGCAAAAGAATAAGTTAATTATTGCTCAACCGTGATAGGACTAGAATAATTTGTGGGTTACTCTCTTTTAATATAAGTTAAGAAAGATAATTAGTAAACAAATAGATTAATAGGCAGTAAAACTAGAAATCTAGACATCTTGATTTGTACTTGGTGCGTTGTAATTATATGAAAACATACTGTTACCTGGTGAGAACTTTATATCTGTGATTTCTATAGCACTTACATAGTATGTAATCAGAGTATATATTAGACAAAGCGGTTTGAAAAGTTCTCAATTTTTTTCTTGAAATTTTAATCTGTTATAATTTTGTGACAAGCTGAAGGCTTATAAATATCTGACATACGTAAAATTTTCTGGTTATGAAGTATAATTATTCTATCCCATAGGAGGTGATAAATATATGTAAATATTTTATTACATTTCATATTTCAACTACATTAGTACGAAGTAACAAAAAGTAGATAAAATATAAAATAGTACATCGACAGTTCAAGACATTGCTACAATAATTAAGGTTCAATCTACACAAATGACTATTTTAGAATTACAAAATCTGTAGTACTCAATTGTCTTGCATAAGGAAAACCATCACGAATGTTTTTATTATCATAGTCTTCGAAATTTTTGTTAAAAATTAATTATCTTGATTTTTACGTAGCTGTTACCAATAAATAGTAAATAAGCGCCAATGAACCACCTTATTATCTTTTTGCTCTAGAACGTAGTTACTGTATTGTCTGTAAAAAGCTTAATAACTGTTATTCAATCATACACATCACTATAAATAATTTAATTTTTTTTCGAGAGACCAGTCCGCATTTTATTCTTAAACAGTTTACAAATTTGATTACAATTCAGGTTTCTAGAATCGACAGTTGGTGATTTCATTTTTTAATCAGTTCACAAAATCACTAGAAAACTAGGAAATCATGGAACTAGACATATTGACAACGTTTACAGAAGGATGTAGAGCAACGTTTGTCTAATCTTTTCTAGTTTAGACGAATACAGGGGCTATCGTACTGACTGGCTTGATATAGGATAACATTCCTAATCTTAAACTATTTTGATACCATTGACTTCCCCGTATTTATAATTTACAGCTACTATTAACTTGCATCATTGTTACAATTTATCTAAGTAAAGGCAGACTTAAACGATTAATTAGGCCCTCAATAACGATTAATAAAAATGAAATGGTTAAGATATACCGTGATACTAAATTACAATTTTTTAATACGATAACTGTTATTTTTACCGTTATAACTAAGTGTAAAATACGAGCTCAAATAGAGATAGTGATAGTCAATTTTACAATTCCTTCCTGCATATTTTGTATTAACTTTTATTTTGGAGTTTTAAAATTGGTTGAAGGAAAGATGATAACGAAGCAAATAAAAATTGTTTCTTAACCATGGGATAAGGCAATATACTCGCACATATCTTCAGATCAATGCTGAAATATCAATCCATAAGTTAAAGATTTATATAGTAGTTTATAATGCGATATTTTAATCGATATTTAATAATTATATTTAATTATACCTGTGTATTCTTATGCACAGTAAGTATACCGAAATTACAGTACTTGCGTATTGATATACTATTTTGCCGGCTATAATCATATATATGCTTAATAACTGCATATATACTCGTTACAAACTATACAGTGTACACTGTACAGTTTTCAGGCCAATGGAGGCCAACCATCAAACCTGACAAAATAATTTAATAAATCTAAGAAAAATTTAAGGAAATAAATTGTTTACACCATTTTGTAATGGTAAATAATTTTGCATCGTCAATTAATTAAATAATATGATATCTTCACCTAAATTACAGGGGGGGGGGTAAATTGATTATAAGTAAATGAGTCAATTTAAAGAGTAAAGTTATTATCAACATTCTCATTTGAAGAAGTTTGTTAAAGATTATTATGCACCTAATAAAAAATGAATTATATTCTCCTCAGCAATTTCTAAACGATGAAATGTAGAATCTTATAATTGGTTGGATATTTTCTATTACGTGAATTAATATCACAAATTTATAACCAATTACAGCAGCTATGTTTTCCTGATTTAAAGATTACGATAAGAATGAATAATGTTGTAATGCGAAAAGTAAATTTATAAAATTCTTTCTTATTATCCTCATCATAGAGTGAGATACTAATATTCACCTTAAAGAATGTTTAATGAAATGGTTAATCATAAATACATCATTCAGATAAAAGAAAAAAATTGGGCAGAAGCAGTTTCTTATGAAGGTGATGAAAGCTCAGTATCAGGTAAACGTACTGGCCTAACTTTAGTGTTAAATCTTCCCTTTTGACAACATTTCATTAAACGCCAGTTGCAGAATTTTTGAAACTTATCACTACGAAATAAAAATATATAGGGATTGGCTACATTACCAATGTAAGTCACAAACAGTAAGCCAAGTTGAAGTAAGACTGTGTAAGAAGTATGACTGATGAAATTATAGAAAGATACTACACTATAGGGCATGAATGAAATTTGAAATGTAACAAAAATAATTACTAAAGTTTTAGCGATAGCAATTTCGGCTTTTCGATTTTCGGGTTCCCGCCTTCTACTAGAACGATTTCCTTGATTGCCAGAGATAGTTATATTTCGCTTAGTTCCTCGTGAGTGGCTAGAAGCGGATGGATCATCATGTTCGGTACTAGAACGGAATTGGCTAATACGCAAACGGCTTCTTTTCACTTCAAGGTAAATTTGATGATAGCACCAACCGATAATTAAAGTCGGAAATTGAACTACAAACAAAATTAAGCATATATAGTAAGAACCAGTTAAGAATCCTTGGCTATAATGATAAACGCCGAGGCATATACCAAGACCATTAGTATAACTAAAACCACCCCAATAACCAAATATTTGTGGTAAAGTAAAAATCAATGGTAAAGTCCAAGTTAAAAGTGATATAATCAAGATTCCGTGTCGCCTCCTCACAGTAATCATACGCTGCGGCGTAACTATAGCGATGTATCTTGTCACCGCTAATACAGTCATGCAATAGATATTGACTATTCCAAAGTATAGAGGTAACCCAACTTCGATTCGACAACTAATTGTCGATGTGGGATAAACAGGAGTTCGACCGATAGAAGCTCTATACATAGCAGGAAAGAAAACGATATAACTGTCTCCAGATATAATAACCGGTATAACCAAAGAAGTAGACCATCGAATTGAAAAAAATTATCGATCGAACCATCATACAGGAAAGAAAAATAGATATACGTAAACATTAGTGAATAGATAATCAAATTGTAATAATTTCGTAAAATAATAGATGTGGGTCCTATTAAATTTCTACTAGTAGATGCGAAATAATGTATTTTAATATAAAGCAGTCTAGATCCAGTTACTCATTACCGATCATTAAAATTGACCGATACTATAAAACTTCATCTCTCTCCAAAAATTGACTCTACAACTTCTATAACAAAATATATAAATATCGGCTTTGAAGTAATAAAAAAATTTAATTATTTACCTGACAATAGTGTAGAGACCATCTGATATTGCTAGCATCGATATAATAATGTCACTTAGTTTAATATCCTTTTTTTTGCGAAATGTAAAAAAGCAAACTAAAGCATTTGCTGGTACACCAACTACCAAGAAAAAGGTTTGGAAGACCATAGATACGACAGCAAAATCTCGATTCACATTCAGAATAAAGTAACTACCATTGGTAGTCTCGTTCATGATGATGGCTGTTTGTTCCGACTTGTATAAAATGCTTAATTAGTTTGTTGATACTGAATCGCTTTTATCAAGGGATTAAGAAAAATATAATCAATGGTACTGCTAGTAAAGAAATATCCAACTTTTTTCTCTCTGTTTTCCGTAATTAAAGTTTTGAAAGGGGATTAAATCAACGCCTAACGACTTTATAATCTTTGGAAGGATAGTTACCAGTGATGGAAAATCAAATTATATTGCAATTGCCTTTATCGCTTTTTTCATTACCTTACGGTAGTCAAATAAAACCATCGCTGTCTCACCACGGGCAAAGATTGCCTGTCCATCATCAAGGGGTAACGATAATGATAACAAATCGTGATTATAACCGAGTGTTTATATATTATCTTGACGGTTAATTGTCTAAGGAAACAATAGCCTTGATTTAATTGCCACCCCTCATTTGCTAAAGTAAAGCATATGAATATATTCCATCTGATTACTTCTGTTGTCTTATTTATTACAATTTAATATCTTCAAATTACTGCTTAGTCACTCATAGTAATTGGCATAAAAGTGATCATACATTGAACCATTCATCTTTCACACCTGATATTAATATTCATTTCGGACGCTACCACTTTTTATGCCAACACCAATTAGTATACCGTATGTGGATACTCCATAATTAGGATTAATAATATTTTTATTTTTAACATCTTGAAGTCAACTTGAACCTGGCATACAATGTAGGTCATTAATCAAATATTCAACATACATCGTGTTGATAATAAAATTGTTACTATCGCTCCCGGCAACATTAGATAAAAAATAGAATAATCGGTAAAGATGGATGAGTTCACTATAAATGAACAATTACAATAGAAATCATGCTATCTTAGTCCACAATAAACGTCAACTTAAAATAAGATAGAATCCATGATGAAGATTTTATTCTTAATAGTTACTTCAATACAATATCAATTATCTATCTTAGTCCGTCCTATTGATAAGCTATTTTTAAAGCCGTAGCTCCATTTCTTTCTATTGTTTATTGGTAATTATTATAGCATAAAAGTAATCTTCGATGTTTATTAGCCTTGAAGATTATTGTATATCAATGATTAAACAGCTAAGTTATATAATGGCACGGGAAGATTGTAACCACGAAACGCTAGTCTTCGTGCTGTTCAATGCTTTAATGCTATTATTATTATGACAAATAGAACGATTTATATAGATTATAATTTGCAAATAGGCCATGATCAATATTTAGGTAAGGATGATAAGATTAAATTAAGTAGGAGATATATACACTCATGCATATATATTCGTATAGATATAGGTGCACGAATAGGTAGTCTAGGATCACTGCAATTCAACAATCCTTTGTAGGTAAACATGTATAAGTTGGCGTTGGTTACACCTAGCTACGCCACTACCAATTTATATTCTTAACACACAAATTACATTGTAATAGTCCTTATTAGTAAAAATTTAAGGCTATAAGATGAATATTAACTATTCCAGTACGCCTAATTTCAATGGATTATTTATTACATTAAGTCTTAATTGAGTATACATGATCATCAGCCTATATAACTACGACACACAACTCAACTGCATGATACCACATTCGGTTAACTATGTATGCTAGGCAACTTATATCGATAAATTATTAAATTTGACGTAGAAACGGATAACGACGCATGCATCATAAATGACGAGATATGAATATAATCAATCAAGGAATAGTTACATACTTGTTATCGTTAGCTATAGCATAGGCAAGCCATAGTACCGAACTAAACCTGCATAAAGATATTTAATTAATGATCTCATAAGAGAAAAATATATGAGTGGCATCGGTAATTAATCATATTTGAGGGTATTATGTATTATTACGATAATATTAAAGCCTGGCTTGGTTCACTTTTACAATTCTCCGTACTTTAGCACATGTATATATGTTACTGTATGTAGACGTAGCTATGTGCGACATTCTAATATCTCAATGTCACAAACCAGCTTCGTGAAAAGGATAACGTGAAATAAATCTCTAAATTACTATAGTCTCCGGGATTCAGTATCCCTACTCACAAGAATTTAGACGCCTTTGATTCTACGTTAAACTAAACTAGACAATTGAGAACTGCTTTATTCAACTATCTGGCGGGCTTATATACCCTTCTACAGCAGCTAACATTCACAAGTCATCTCATAAAAATACTTAGGTGAGAACATCTACTAACTAGTTTTTCACAGTCGGACTACAATATGTCCATTCACAGAATCATTTTAGTGCACATTACAGCACATCATTAAATTTACTGCAACACATTTATAATTAGAGTAATTCCTATTGTAAGGATCTAGATGTAATATATTATCACTATATTATATTCACCAAATTTAGATAGCTATTTCTTCACGGTAGTTCGTACCGTGACACTCAATCGCAATGGTGTATAACTAACAATTTGTAGCTATAGGAGAGCTAATTCTTTGTAGTAGATTACTGATTGTCTAGGTAGAAAATGGTGCTATAATGGATAATAAAAGTTAAATACGAAAACAATAATACGTATAGGTAAGTGTATAGCATATCATTATGATTAGCGTGAATAATATTTGCAAGCTAATATGAAAGCGGGGAATACTATCCTGTTTTTTCATCTAATGAATGATCTTGGTGGTTACCGTAATTGCTGTTCTTAAACTCATTTAAAGTTGAAAATAAATGGCAATCTGTCATTGTATATCAGTAGAAGCATATTGAAGTTACAGTTATCCAGTATAACAAAGATCAAATGATCACCGCCTTTCCTAATAGTTCATCCTGGAACTTGTGATATTATTTGTAAAATAGTTAAATTTTATTTCCCATTACTACACTAAAATAGTAACTTTAGTCTGTGATCATTTTGAGGCTGTGTTCACTACACAAAGAACTTATTTTAATATGCAGCTCATTAATCGATATTGATGAAGCTTATATAATACATCTTCCCCTATAATGAATTATACCATATTGCACTATATCGACTGTATACATATATGTCTATGTGTAGTACATTCATATATCTATATTTACGATCTTGATATAGGACTTATGGTAAAGTTATGATAAATTATTTAATTTTTCTACTATTTTATAATGTCTAAATTAAAAAACAGAAGGCTCTTATGAATGTTATACTCATACAATTTCAATGGCAGCTTTGTGTCAAACATTCTCTTGTTTATTAAGAAATCAGCTATACACAATTTGCTGAGTCTTAAGATTAATAAATAAAACTAGCGATTGATTAACAACAATTGAGGTAAAGTGGAGGAAATTATATCACGATTTTATATAACACTCTTCTCAGTCTTCTAAGGAAGACACGATATGCAACCCTAGTTGTTATAAGAAAATATAAAATAATCTCCATTATTTTGTTAATTTCTTGCTGCTAATCGTTATCTATTACCGATATTTAATAATCGTGAATTATTTAAATTAGTAGCATAACTTCATAGAAAAATTTGTTTACGGAAATCTTTCCCAAAAGAAAAAAATTCTAACCTTTAGTCAATGGAAGATATCTGTATCGTAAGTTATATATTGTCATTGTATATAATAGATTGAATACGTTCCTTATTAATCGACAGTTTAAAGAAACGTGCTAGATTAATTATAAATAAAATAATCACTGATTAACTTCCAAACTTAATTGTCTACTAGAATAGGATTATAAATCTTGGCATTGATTAGGTAAATTGCAAGGAACAGCTAAGCAAAATAGTTGCTACTTTAGTTATTATAAAATGTGATCATTGTATTATCTTTTTAGAAGTAATCATGAATATTCTTTAATAAGGTGAAAATATTCGATACAATTAACATTAAAAGATAATCTATAACTTTTATCTCCCTGAATCACGTAATTCAAATTTTTTTAATATTTTTCAATTTAGATAATCATTGTAGAACTAACTTGAGATAATAATTGCTAAATTATTTTTGTTGACTAAAATAATTATTTCAATTCAAATACATCAGTCTCCATAACCTTGTTTCTACTAATCTATACCTTTCTTATTCACAGTCTACTTGCATTAGAGTTATGAAAGGATATTATTGACGGAAAAGAATAGTTCAAAACTTACATTCTAGTTAAATTATATATATTTAAAGGATACATACCTGATTATTTTTGACTGCACCTTGTGAATTATAAATCAAGTTTAATTGATCTAGTACTAAAATTCTAAATTAATTCGTTACAGACAATTAGCTCAATTTATATTAACTTTTCTTCTAGAAGAAAATCACCTCGGTACATAACTACGGTATATCTATCTGCTGTATATTTAATCAACTTAGGTTACTTAATTTAAAGTATAATATCTTTCGAACACACGATGTTATTGAAAATATCTTATACTTTGTAGATAATAATTTAGTACAATAAGAATAATTAATTGCTTTCAATTTATTTGAAAACTAAAATCAATCTCTTTATCTTGATACTATTGATAGTCCTGTGTGATAGGTTCTCTGAACCAATATTAATAATTAAGTAGCCAATTCATCAACTTCCTTGAAGAGATATCAAATCTAGTAATTTTTAAAGCCTGAGTATACGTACGGCACATAATTTAGCCTGGCTGTGTTATCACTTAATCTTGATAATTAAATACACTTCTTGGTATCTGCTTTTAATATAGAATCCATTGAATAGTCCATAAGAAGAATATGTAAACTAATTTTCTTTTCGTCTTAAAACAAATTAAGCAACGCTTTAGCTACTCTTTACATCATCCTTTTCATTCTTCTAAATATCTTATTCAAGTTTAGGACTATTATATTGTGTAATTGCTGCTGTGCTAATTTCGAATATACTTCTGTACATTTATTGATGTAATTATTGTTAATCTGCTTTAAATACCATTTCTTAAAATATACGAATTTTTTAAGCTAATCAAGTCAATAAGAAAGTTTAATTTGGCGAATAACTCTTAATCTATCAAGAGATTCA